CCCGCCCGAGTTCCCTCCCGGCTGCGCCCGGGTCCTCAGTCGCGTTGGCCCGAACCCTTGCCTTCCAGAGTGAAGGACCAGTTCATCCCCGGGTGCGTGCAGGGAACGCGAGAAGCTTCAAAAGCCTTTGCGGTGGGAGAGCTGGCGGGAGCTCAGGAGGAAGTTGGCCGGCGATGCTCGGCCTCTGGGCAAGACAGAAGATCCGCTTCCTTTCTCCGAGCGTGCCGGAAGGAAGGAGGCGGCGAGGGCGCAAATGTGGGGGCTGCCCTTGACCCCGTGACTTGCCCACGCAGGCCAGTGGCCAGTCAGCCTGAAACCCAGCAGGACCCTGTCTGTGGAGTCCTCCCTGGTACAAATCCTTTCCGTGTCCTCCATTTCTAGTTTGTAGGAAAGAGGCTCCTTTCAGCCTCCAAGATCTTCCTTCCCTAAATTCCAGATTCAAACAGTTGCTAATCAGGGAAGGGAGGGGATGCAGAAACAAAGGAGGAGCAGTTAAGAAAAAATAGTAGTCCTGGGGTAGGGTCTTGGTTCCTCCTCAAGTAATATACACAGTGTCTTTGAGTTCTTTTGCAGGAACCAAGACCCCCACCCAGGTGGAGGATGACAGCTTCTAGCTGAGCACAAGATTCCTGGAACACCGCCTTGCTCACCAACAATCAATTAGAAGAAAGTCATCCACCCTGCAGCCCTCACCCCAAATTTTGCCTCTGAAAACTACCCCCCCAAAACCATTGGGCAGTTCTGATTTTTCCAGCATGAGCCACTGTTCTCCTTGCTTGTAATCATCCTTCCTCTGCTCCAAGCTCCAATGTTTTGGTTTGTTTGTCCTGACTGTGCGTGGGCACACAAAGCGCTGGTAACAAACCCCCACCCCTGTGAGGCCCACAAAGGGGGTGCATTTTATGAAACCAAGTTTTCAAGGAAACCCTACCCTTCATAAGAGCATTCGCTTTGCCTACCGCCCCCAACAGAGGATAGACCAGGGCTCTGGCTGCAGAGAGTCCTTGAAAGGTTTTAATAAAGCAAGGGAGCAATATAATGAGATTAATACTTTTAAAAGCTCATTTGTGAGGGGAGGTGAGTATAGAGAAAACGACATAAGACGGACTTCTGGTGTCCTAGCCATGTTTATTGATATGGGCACTGGTTAATAGGTGTGTTTGATTGAGGAACTTCAAGCTGTTTGCTTACATATGTAATTCTATCCATGTATATGTGTATGTATATATGTAATTTTATGTATACTTCAGTAAAGTTTTGCTAAGAAAAAAATCATTCCGTTATCAATAAAGAATGAGTTGGAGGGGAAGGTATAGCTCAGTGGTAGAGTGCACGCTTAGCATGCACGAGGTCATGGGTTTGATACTCCAGTTAAATAAAACAATAATAATAAATAATTAAACCTAATTACCTCTCCCCCCCCCAAAAAAAACAAGCAAACAAAAAAAGAAATGAAGGTAGTTCTTAGTGTGCTATTCACTGTGGGAACACACACACAAACACACACACACACACACACACACACGAATGAGTTGGGTATTAGGGACCAGGATAAGAATAGGAGTGTCTAGTCCAGTTGGAAAGCTCTTGCTATAATTCACATGTGAAATAAAAAGGACTCACCTATGACAGTAGCTGTGAGAAGGAGAGTAAATTAAAATTAAAGGAGAAGAGATTCAGAGAGAGTTGGGAAAACTGTCCCTTTCTCCAGGAGGCCATCTTGGACACCCATGTGCACATGTCCAGGGTAGGTTACGTGCCTCTCCTCTGTGCTCTCGTACACATCTTTCGGAACATCATGGGGTTAGTGATCATGACTGTTTCAATCATAAACTCTCCCTCGCACAGAACCAGGCATCTAGTAGTAGTCATCGTCTCAATGAATACTTGTTGAATGAATGAATGAATGTCCTAAATGTATCATTGAAATGATCTTTAGGTACCTCTGTTCCCCACTAGAAAGTGGGTCAGTATCAGGAGAAACTGGCTATGTGAATGTCTTGCTGTGACCTTAAGATGCCCCAAAAGCTTTCAGTGGTAAATACTACACTTGGAGTAGTGTAGTAGTGGAGAACCTGGTGACAAGCCTCAGAAACTCCATCAAATTAGGCTGGCTCGCATCGGTCCAACGTGGACCAGGTGCTTGTTCTTGAAACAATGACTGTGGCCAGGGAATGTGGACCCTCTTTAGACCCTTTTCTGGATCTAGGTGATAGGATCAGCCCCATATAAACCTCATCATGGACTAACAGTTGCGGGGGAGGACAGTTCCTTAAAGGAAGAAAATGAAGTGCTGTTACCTGAAGAAGAGGGAAAGGATAGTGGACAGGCTAAAACAGCCTGTCTACTACCCTGAATTATTATTATTCTAAATAAATTTTAAATCACTTTGGTAGTTTTTTTTTTAATGGAGGGACTGGGGATTGAACCCAGGATCTCCTCCATGCTAAACACATGCTCTGCCACTGATCTATTACCCTCCCTCCTTTTTTGGTAGTTTTTTTTAAAAAAAAAAAAACACTCTATGATTTTAGAGTGTTTAAACACTTTATGATTCATTTTAATTTAGTAACTATAAACAAATGTTTCTTTGTGTATTTAAAGGCCTCTCAGTTTCCACAAAATATTACCCAGAAAAACCAGATTGCAGTTGCAAGCCTGAAGACAACAAGGTCAGGTGTACAGAAGGGCTTTTGGCCCCGAGCTTGTGAAAGATGTGTAGAGGAGAGCTCCAAAATTCAAGGCTCATTTTGTCAAGAAGAATGAGGGATCCGTGCACAGCGGGTCCAAGAATGACCCATTCGGTTCCAAAACTTAATATAGGACAGGATTCTCTGGGGGCAAGAACCAGGCCAACTGTGGTTCCTAAAAGTCTACCTCGTGCTTTGTTCTTCTCCAGGGAAAGAGCTCATTCTGAGCCTGTCCTACTGTTCTTCACCAGCGACATTTGTTATTTCCTAGGGTCGCCTTGGAACATGTTCTGACTGCCTTGAGTCTCCCCACCAGCACTCTGGTAGCCTGGGGTCCCTCAAATGGGTTGTTATTTTTGGTTGGATCTGGGGTTTCTGTGACTGAACGCTGACCTGCCAAGTATACTTTAATTTTTTTTCCTTGAAGAGAGAAAAGGGCAAAATTCCTCCCAGTATTATGTACTTACCAGGAAGTGGGGAGCAGCCGGGGAGTAGCCGAGGAGCAGGTGTAACTGGAAAGGCTAACCCATAGGCAAAAAGGTGGAGATGATTTCCTTTGCCAGGTGCTTTTTAACTGAAGTACTGTTGATTTAAAAATATGGAATCCTCACAAATTTACGTGTCATTCTTGCGCAGGAGCCATGCTCATCTCTGTATTGTTCCAGCTTTAGTATATGTGCTGCCGAAGCGAGTACAGGTACAATTTTTTAACTGTGTATAATTAGGCAGATGAGTATGGAATGAATGTTAGTTTGAAAATATTAGGTAATGAGTAAGTTCAACAACCATCCACAAGTTTTTGTTCATTGCTGTATGAAATCTTTGATAGAAAAATAAAACTAACACCAACTTATAAGGTCGTTTCTTTTTATTAAAGTGCAAAATCTTATCACCCCTGAAAGATACTGTTATGAATAGTCAGTATGAGAATTTATTACATTTACTTTAGGCCTTTACTCTTACTCTTTTACTCAAATTCTTCCTTTACTCTTACTTGACTGAACAGGTAAGGCAAGAATTTTGGATACTCAGTAAAAGTACACAGTGAAATTCTGGTTAAAGTCAGAAATGTCTGTACTATATTTAAAATATCTGTAGGGCTTACTTCTGCATTCTTCTTGTTAAACTACTCTTTCATAAAATAGAGTTTATTTGCAGTCACATGTAAAAGTTATAGAATACAAGGCTTACACAAAGTAAAATTATTTTGACATTGCAATAAATGTTAACATCACACAGTGCAATGCTTGGTACATATGAGGTGTTTAATAAATATTTGTGAAATAAATGAATAGATGAGTGAATGAATGAACAACCACTATTAATTTTACATTTCATGAGGTGCTTATGAAATAATTCACTTTCTTCAGTCATGAAGTTTATGCAAAAGACCTTGGACTATAAAATAATAACTAAGTTAAATAATATAGAACAAGCGTAGGGTAAAAATGGTAAGTATCATACTGGCTTCCCCAAATCATCTTCAAGTTCACCAGCACTATCTGCCTACCCCCACCTCAAGTTTACTTGGGTCCTTAGTCAAATGACTTAGCACAAATCCTGTACAGTCTCAGGAACTCAACAAACATTCCTGCTCTGGGTTTATTATGGTACCTGCTCCACATCAGAACTTACATGTAACTCAGGGAGGTAGGCCAACTCTCCACAGATGGAAGGGATTGTGACTGCCCACCCACCCTACCCAGTCCCCCAAACCCCCATCTTGACCCCACTTCTCACAAGACCCAGGGCACGCTTCGCTAAAGAAAATGGAGAGAAGATGCCTTTTCCATAGAGGTCAGGGAATTCTGCTCTGACCAGCAAATTCCCCCCGAGCAGCCATTCAGATCACAAAAGTGGTCGGACCAGGTTGCAGCATACTTGTCTGATTCTTCCTCTAAAACAAGTCTGAGGCACTTGAAATATGAAGAAATCCCTGTTAGATTAAAGTAAACAAAATTAATGATGTATAAATGATTTTGGAAAAGTGTGGAAATGGAAGGGTAAATCCATGTTGCTCACATGACAAGGAAAAAACCGTTCCCAAGCAAATGGGACAGCCACGTCAAGCTACTGTGGCCAAATAAAGCACAGCCCAGAAATCATACATGATTCACCAAGGTGAAATCACAGTGAAAATGTTGATAATATTATTTTCCACTGGTCTAAAAAGAATCTTTGGTCTGTATTTACCCTGAGTAATGTTCAGCCTCATTCAACAAACATTTGGTCTTGGGAGAAAGAGAAAGACCAGTGAATAAACACTGCCCTGACTGTCTAACTGCATTGCAGGAACTCCTTCTGTCTTGGCAGCATCACTGCGCTCTGCAAAAAAAAAGGGGGGGGGGACTTCTTTGAGCTGACTGTTCAAAGACTTAATTTCCAGGATCATCCAGGACACAGGGAAATAGCAACTTGAGGTCAAAGAAGAGAAATTAGATGTGAATGAGAGCCCCAGTGTCTGGGTGTCTGACCAGCCATTCACAGAGCCCACTGCTCCTCACAGAACAGCCACTTTGCCTCTTTGGTTCCCTTGAAACTCTCCTAAGCCCATTTCCCCGACCACAGCTTGAGAAAGGGTGATGGGGATTGTTGCTAGAAGATTTTGATATGATGACCCCAGGGTTTGCTGTGTTCCTTTAAAAGAGAAAATACTTCAGTTTTTCTTTATTTTGGTATATTATGACAGGACTCCTTTGTCATTACCAGTTTGCAGAGCTGTTTCTAAAGTGTTTTCCAAGCAACAGGACTGAGAATTGGTCTACAATGATTTTTGCCAGACTGTGTTAGGGTCAGACCTTGTTTGGGCTTCAAAACTTGCAAAAGATTTAACTTTATAATATTTATACTTACTGGATTCCAATTATGTGCCAGGCGTGTGAGGTATATCTGAACGAACAGACAGACACCTCTGCCCTTGTGGGACATGTTAGCCGTCACACTCAACCCACCCGTGTGAATTATGGCTTTAGAGAAATGCCAGACCTGAAGAATCCAAAGCTTGACATCAGAAGCTGTGGTGAGGTGGGCCCTTAGTAACCCTGCCCATTTGCCTCCTGAAACAACATTTCCTTGCTGTCCTTGCCACTTTGTCCTACTTCTGAATTGATCACGTGTTATCACAGTCGAAAGTCCTTTTAGGCACCTGTATTTGCAACTTTCTCATACCCATTTGTAATTAGTTAAGTAAAGTTTGTTCATATTATCAAAGAAGGTTTTCATGTTAAAGAGAAGCAAGTCGGGGGGTGGTGAGGGTGTAGGCTGCAGACACGAGTTTTTCTGCCCCACAGCTTCCACTCTCTCTCTCTTTAGTTACAGAGAAGCGGAATGATAAACCAGAAGGAAGCTACTTAGCTCATACACATGTACTCCAAGCAAGCACTGTAATTAAGCCAGATAAAACTAAAGGCAGTTGTCTTAGTAAGGATCTTGCTGGTTGCAATTCAGAATTACAGTGACTTACTAGAGATAGCTTTAGACCAAAACAAAACAAAACAAAACAAAATCCCAGGGTTGGGGGACAAAATTTACTATCATGTAGGAAGGGGGACATATTATATAGCTTATAAAATCATGATTTGCACAAATATATATTACATAGGAAAATGGTCACAATGTATGACTAAGTGAAAAAATGCAGGATATAAAATAGCTGTAATGTGATAGTATTTTTGTTAAAAAAGCCTCTGCATTGTATGCTTTCTATTCCATAAATATTTCAGTTGTAAGACAAAGGCTATGTTAAGAAGATAAACCAGGGGATAGATTTCTTTAAAAGTGAGACTAAAAAATTCTCTTTTCAAAAAAAATTTGTCCCATCTCAGGCAGCTAAGTAGCTAAGAAAATTTTCCTAATCATTTTGGCTATTTATTTATTTATTCATTCATTCATTCTAATCTTTTTCGTCTGTGCGGCTCACAGATACTTTTATCATGACTCTTTGGCCAAATTAGGTTGGAGTGTACAAGTCCCATGACACAAGTTACCCAGCACCCTGCAGCAACTGTCTCTGGCCTGAACGCAGGAAGTTCAAGGATTCCAGGGCCAGGGGCACATAAAAGTAGCCACTGGTTTAAAATTGATAATAGATTTTTACCATTTTAAAGAAGTGTCCTTGTAATCCTGGCTTTCAAGGAGTTTTCATTTTTTTAAAAATGCTTTTTAAATTAAAAAAAAGGATGCATCATATTATATAATCATTTAAAAAAAATCATCCTCTACATTATTCATTATTATAAGTAATCCTGGCATGAAAAACTCTGTATAAGAATCCAGGTGGGAAGATGTGCAATTGGGCAATGAAGAATGGGTCCTTTTAACCCCAAAAGGACCAGGGCCCGAAAGTGGAGTAAGGACAGAAGCCCTAGCAAGGAAGCAGTGCCACGAGACCAGTCCTGGGAGGAGAGATGGGTGTTACTGGTTGGTCCGGAATGGAGATGCTAATACGGAGCTCCCAGCCCAGGCAGCGAGGCTGAGAATAAAGGGGGCACAGCAGGGGTAGTGGAAGGGGGGATACTTGTTTATTGGGCTGCAGTAGAATGGACGTGAGAACGGAATTCCTTGTGTGTTTGTGAATTCACACCGGGAGCCCAAGTGCAAACAGGACATCATCTCTAATGAATGAATGAAAGCCAGCATCTCCCACCCATCTGCACCTTTTGTGTGACATCTTAACATATGTGCAAAAAGGTTGATGGTAATTATTTGGGAGAGGTTAAGATTTTAGATTTGTAAGAATAGTAAATGCCTTACCCCAACTCCAGGTAGTTTTTGGTGTTATATTTCTTGACTAATTGAAGATGTGATCGCTCCAATTTTACCCACTGGCTCATAACCCTGTTTTTGAAGTAGCCTGTGGTGAGAGAGTTCCATAAACACGGTGGTGGCTGGAACCGGCTTGCATGGAGCATCTCTTCTGGTGTGTATTAACTGAATGGAAAATTTTATACTGAATCTGGAAAAGTTTGGATTTTGACTCGAGAGATTATTGAGTATTTCACAGTGTAAATATTTTTGAGTAGGGAAGGGACATATCCAGTCAACAAATCTTTGTTGACCTGACTTATTACATTAAAACTGAGAAATAAACTTGAGAACCGTGAACTGGAGGAAGTTTTAAGATGAGCTTAAGAGAAGAAGGAGAACAAAAGATGTAGAGCCAGAATACTAGGGAAAAGTAACTTTTAAGTGGAGAGGGTAAGTAAATCACAACATTTATGCATAAAATGAAAAATCGGAAAAATTCAAAAAATAGAGTAATAAATGCAAAGAATTAGTACAAAGATTTTTAATAGAATTATTCGGTTATAGCTTAGTAAATAAGAAATTATATATTAAGTGAGATAACAAATGTATATATTATACAGTGTGATTTCAAACATGTAAAATAAAACATGCATAGGAAAAAAGAATAAAAATATATCAGTGTGTTACCAGTGGTTGTTTATGGGAATTGAATTCAGATGGCGTTCTTCCCTTTATTTTGCTTTATTTTTCAATTTTCTATACAGTATCTATATTACTTTTGACAATTGGGGAATAGGAAGGTTGGTTTTTTGTTTTTGTTTTTTTTTCTCTCCTTCTTAACCTCAATAGACCCATAGTATTACAGTGTTTGTAAAATGCTACCCACACCCTTAAAATCTCTTCATAAACTTTTCATCTGTTCTTCATTTATTAACCTTTACCTATATCTGGATTTTTTTTAATGGGTGAACATAATTACACTGTAGTGAAAGGTTAACATTTACAAGATTTACCTTGAAGACTCCAATAACAGGCCTGTGTTTTATCATATTTGACATATTTAATAAAATCAGCTGAATTTGAAGCCCAGTGTATTCCAACTGTGACAATTAAAAATAAATATAATATTTTCCATCATTGTTTTCAGGTGCTTCGTGAATTTTACCAATAGTCTTTCACTGTTTCAGATTAATTTATAGATAGGAACTAACACCAATAACAGGAATGACAGACTAACATGCATTTTCTTTTAACACATCTAAACTGTGAAACAAGCTTGGGTTTCTTCTGTTTTTCAGACATCAGGAGAAAGAGGCTGTTATCCTCTCAATGGAAAAGTTGTTGATTTTATCCTAGAGTAAACAAATACATGAATAAATAAATACGTTTTTACTTTGGGGAAATCCTCTTTAATCCCAGCTCCATTTTAATCTAATGTTCCCAACAGTGCTTCATGGTAGAACAGAATGTAAAAGCTATGCCCACGTGATTCAAGCAACTGGAGAGACCGCTACTCAGTCTTCTAGACCTTCATTACTCGGAGTATAGCATCCAGATAAGCAGCACTGGACCACCTGGGCGCTGGCTGGAAATGTACAAGTCTCAGACCTACTCCATCAGAATCTTCTTTTTGATAAAATATCTGTGTGATTTAGAGGCACCTTAAAGTTTGAGGCATTACGGGCTAGACAACTTAATTACATTATTATTTTGTTATATGCCACAGAATAAGAAGGAAATGATGCAAGTAAATGAATCAAACCTGTTGGTATAATGAAAGCAGGAGATGTTTCGCAGTGTTTAAGAATTTAGAACTACAATTAGATGATCATGATCCTAAATTTAAATTTTAAACGATGCGTATTGAATGTTGGAAGAGTCACAACTACAACGATCATGTTGTTCATGAGAAAAGGGGAACAAAGCAGAAGGTAATAAGAAAAAGACCATACTGAGGACTAACTGAATTATCTATGCAAAGTACACCTTACAAATCTCTCTTGGAAAGCATTGGTTCCAATGTGTATGTATGTGCAACTTTTCATAATTCACACACTGAAGCCAATAGGTTCCCTTGCTTTTCCCTCTACTGTTTGCATTCTGTTTAATTTAGCCGTTCAAGTAGGGAAAAGCACATTCTTTGGTGGAGAGGGAGATTTATGTGGGTTAGCAGCAAGAAAATCTGAACATACAGTCAGCATTCAACATGCATATGTTTCCTGTTTCATCATTCATTGGTCATTCTTGTGACTAATAGAGATTGAACACCTACAGTGCCAGGCATGGTGCTAAGTGCCAGACACACAGAAGTGAGTTCAAGAGACCCTGGTCCTGCCTTCATGGGGCTTCTGGTAGTGTACGAATTACTACTGACCAATTGTTGAAACTTATCTGTGGATTCTGTTCATCTGTTATATTTCTGTGCCTTACATCTACCTTTTTGCATTGATGATGAGAAACATCTAATTCTTAGTTATCAGTTATCTCCTGATGCATATGGATTCACCAGCTGTGGTTTTTGTAGCAGATAGTAGCAGTCCGCATGGCAAAATGCAGCTGTTACCTTACAGAGGTGAAGCTAAAACATACAACAATAACAGTTACACACTGTAATGTGGAAGGGCTTGACCTGGGCTGCCAGGACAGTAGTGAGGATGAGTATCAGTGAGTAGGGGCCGTGAGCAAGTCTCTCCTAAATTGTGTGGATGAAAATCAAACTATGGTGAAAATCAAACACACATGTTGTATCATACATCCCACATTGATAAACTGGGTAATCTATTGCATTTCTGTGTCTTCAAACGAAGGTAATTTGCCCTTCAAGTCTTACAATATGGCATTTTTAGAAAAGCATCATTAAAATAAATGTGTAAGTCGGGGAGTATAGCTTGGGGTAGAGTGTGAGCTTAACGCACATGAGGTCCTGGGTTCAATCCCCGCTACCTCCATTAAAAATAAATAAATAAATCCAATTACCTCTCCCCCCAAAAAATACATTAAAAAAATAAATTGCTTTGTGAGTTTTCTTGGAGCGATGGATGAATTTGCCCACTATAGTAGGGACCTGACAAATTGGGTGGAAAGTTAAAATTAACAGCCCCCCATGGGCAAGTGTCCCAGACTTGGGTGGAATCAACCACGACTTCAGGGCATTGATATCTCTGCAGATTTTGCATGTGGCAAAATTGCATGTCCCAGATTCCCAGCCCTGCATTCCCAGCACCCTGGCATTTGTGTCTGTTTAACTACCATTCACAACTTGCTCCACCCTTGTTGTCCAATGAGTTGATTCTCTGCCACGGTGACCCAGAGGCTAAGGAGTGGTCTTGGAAGTCACATGGACATGGGTTTCTAGTTCTGGTCTCACTACCTCTTAGTTAGACACAGGATCTTGCACAATGTAATGTTTCTATGCCTCAGTTTTCTCACCTGGCAAACGGAGATTAAAACTCTCACCTCATGTGACCGTGGGGATGACATAACTACATGAAACACTCACTGCCATGTGTGGCACATGATAAATGGGGACTACAACTACTTTATGACTATTATTAAACCCAGGTCGCCATTACTGGTCTTTTTTGCTAAGGAATTTCCTCAAGTAACAAGTTTTGGTTTATTTTGTTACCTCGTATCTCAGTCTTTAGTGCCTAGACTTCCCCTGACTGAATCCATATTCCAGAAGCTGCCTCCTTGGGGACGCCCCTCCTTTGTGGCACTTGGGCTGAGCTCTCACCCGTCTCCAGGTTCGCCAGACACCCCAGCTCCCGCGCACTGTTTGGTTCACAGAGGCAGGCAGCAGTGCCTAGTGACATCCACTCACTAGCTGACTGACTCTGGGTAAATTATTCAACATTTGTGTGCCTCAGTTTCCTTATCTGTGACATGAATTGTACCAGTGTCATGTGACTGTTGTAAAGATTAAATAGATTTATCTCTGAAGAATCCAGGGTAAGAAGTGCTATCTAGCATTTGCCATTATGATTCCGACCTTGGTTAAGGGTCGCCCAGCTTGGCGCTCACCTGCTTCTCTCTCCTCAACCCCGGGGTCCCTCCCAACTGCAGAGCTATTTTCAGGACTTGTATACCTAACTGCATGTCCCTACACTGTCTGGACACTGCCTTTGTTTCCACGTCAGAACCCCTGCCTTCCCCACATCCTGCCACTAATGCTGCTAGCAGACGCTGGCTGTGACAGACATATTTCGGAATGAGTCATATTTTTCCCCCGAACATAATATCTGTGAGAAATAGTCTACTGGGGCCAGCCTGGTGGCCTCCTACCTAAAATAGGGTAAAACTAATGGAGCCAAGCATTTTTCTTCCTTGATTCCGTCATCTCCCTGTCCTCATTTCCACTGGTAAACACAGATCAGCCGTCAGCCAAAAGGACAGTGCATCGTTCCTCCCCACTGAGCCTGACTGTGTGCTGTTAAACCTTAGGTGGATAAAATGGGAAAGGAAAGAGTAAGGGGTAAACTCAAGTGTATGAACTTCTATTGTATCCATGGGGACATAACATTGGTTAACTGAACAGTTACTGTTTAATAACTGTTTCCACAATGAGGCAATGTGGCTAAATTCAAAATAACCTGGGAGAAGCAAGTCCAAAGAAGATTGCATTTTGATTGGGAACTTTAAATAAAGTGTATGCCGCTGGTTTATAAACTGCTCGCACCCTCCATGCTGGGAGTGGAAGTCAAGGGTATCGGGGTCTTACGTCTCAGCCCTCCGTGCCTGGAATAGTACTTGGCTTGTGGCAGTAAATTGTTTCTGCTCGGCAGTCCTGGCTTCAAGCCTCCCACGGGGAGATTCCTTTTAATGCTCCAAATCCCTTCCAGGGCCACTGTCAACATTTGCAAAAGCAAGATGACGATTATTAGCTTATTCTATTTTTAGGACAAAGTGTTTTTTCTTTGTTTGTTTTTTCTATTTATATATATATATATCTTTTTATTGAAGAATGGTTGGTTTACAATGTTGTGTCAATTTCTGGTGAACAGCACAATGCTTCAGTCATACATGAACATACATATATTTGTTTTCATATCCTTCTTCACCATAAGTTACTACAAGATATTGAATATAGTTCCCTGTGCTGTACAGTATGAACTTGTTGTTTATCTATTTTATATATAGTAGTTAGTATCTGCAAATCTCAAACTCCCAATTTTTCCCATCCCACTCCCTTCTCCCCCAGTACCATAAGTTTGTTTTCTATGTAGGACAAAGTGTTTTTTAAAGCATTTACTTGGTGATTATTTTTTTCAGTCATTTGGGTGGAGGTTTCTTTGGTTTGATTAATCAAACTACTCAAGGTCTTTATCATTTGTTTAATCTGTAATTCCAGTTCATTCATTCAATTATCCCCTATGTAATTAAACCTCTACAGTGCTGTTAGATAATTTAACCTGTGCCAAAAGAAATAGATGAAAAATCAATAAAGAAATAAAAATAGTGATCAGGAACAAACAAATATAGCTAATATACAGACTTCATTCAGTCGATCATTATCTGATTCTGATTTAATTCCCAGAAGCACAAATATTTCCAAAGATGACATATCCTAAGTTACCAGATTAATTCATCCAATAGGTCCAACAATTTTCTAAAACTAAACTAGATACTGAAAGAGACAGTAAACTCACTGGAAAACATCACAGCACAATATTTGTAACATGATCTCTCTGCATTATTCAAAGCAAACTATAGTCCGGAATTCCAACACCATCAATAAGCATTGGTATAGTACTGTTTTGCACTGAGTTTTCCTCTATATCGTAAAACCACTTGTTTCGGCTTTGAGAGTCAGTTAACAAGTATTTGGTGAAAATCTACTGTGCAGAAAACTGTGACCCAAGTTAAGTGAAGAAGTGAATTCAGGTGCGTGTCATAAGTTGTTTTCCCCATTTCTGAATCTGCAAATTTCAATGCCCAATATTTTCCACAGGTCCAAGGCTGCCCACAGGCATACACCCAGCCATTTGATCCCTTCCCAAAGGAGTTCGTACCATGGAACAAGTAAGCACGCAGCCTTTGGCTTCAGAGGAAAGCTGGGTTTCAGTCTCTGCTCCACCACCTAGCAAATGTATGACTTTGGGCAAGTGGTTTAACCCACTGTGCCTCAGTTTCCTTATCTTTCAAACGGGGATGACAATAATATCTACCTTGAAGGATTATTACAGGATTTGGATGAAATGGATATAAATGCTTTATACTCAATAAATGGTAGCTATTATTTTTATAGGGACAGTGATTTTCCTGTCCAAGCATAGACTGAGATTCCATTTCCAGAGGCACAGTCACTGAGCTGACTCACCCAGCTGAATGTCAGTCCTTCCTTTTCCTTCCCTGCCCCTCAGTGGAGTGGCTGAAGCTATCTGTCAAGATCAGTTTCTTCCCTCTTCAGAAACCTTCAGCGCAAACTCCACAATCACCTTCTGTCAAGACCTTACAAAGGTGAAGCTGTGTCTTATGTCTAACCTAAATCTTCCCCCACCGATCAAGCCAGTTTCCTCTTCTTCCTCATCTAGAGATAGAAAAGAGCTGCTCCTTTTTCTTGGATAATCAGTTCTCAGATGGAAGAGCCCGCAAACATTTATTCAGTACCCCCTGTGACCCCTGAAAGAGACTAAGGAAATAGATTTGTTCATGTTGTGGGAAGATCTTGTAAATGGGAAACAGTTAAAAATCCAGAGGGAGGACTTTAGAAAACCCAAACAAATTAGACAGAACTGTGCTAGTCTAATCTAGCTGTGCTCTCTGAGATGCAATCACAGGACTAGCTGGACATTCACAGCTTAATAGAGAAAATACCTGAAACGTAAATGCACATGCTCAGAAATGCCTGGGAAAAAACCTTTGGAGCAAAACAGAGACATGCATAAATATTTACGATACTCGGGGATAGAGGCTGCTAGAAAAACAGCACGACTTTGATTTGATACGATGTTTGGATGAAGAAGTTATGGAAGGTGACATATTTAACTGGAGGAAAAAAGGTCCAGGAAGAAGCAGGAACACCCTTTGAAGCAGCGGCTTCTTTAAAGAGAAATCCAACTCCTTCAGCTTTGGGCAAATGCAGCCCAGGAGGAGGAAGGAAGACAAACTGGGGAGGAGGGGTTTTCACGGTCAGAGAGACGTCAGTCAGTGCTGGCAGCTCAACCTGAGAAAGCAAAGGGCAGCAGCTAAGAGAAAGGAGTTCAGTCCTTCCTCGAAGCTCAGAATCTTCCAGAGATTCTTCCTTCTCTCTCTCCCCTTCTCGTGTCTTTAAACTCCTCCCACTCAGAAACCTTTTTAGGTTTTATCCTTATCCTGAATTTTAAAGTTACTGAACCACGCCTTTTTGCCAAAAATTTGAGCCAGTGAGATCTGGCCTGGTCTATCAAAGAAGGTAAACTTGCCCTTTAATAATATTTTTGTTCCCTTCAGTTGTCTCCAGACTGTGAATAAGGAACATTGGAGCTTGAAAAGCCTGTTTAGAGACATGCCGTCTGTGCTACCTTTGTGTGGACATGGTCAGAGGAGGAAAATGTTAAGTAATTTAAATTTATGTTTGGTGACTTCTAGGCTCTGTAATTATGTCTTTTGTTGTTGTTTTTTCTTCTTTTTTTGTAATTATCTTGACATGCCTTTGGTGTCTGGTAAGTTCCTTGTATATGGTAGGTACACAAAACATTTTTATTGAATGAATTAATGAATAGCAAACATGTCCACACTTGCTGAGCAACATTTTACATTTCCTAAATTTGTACTAAACATAAGAAACAAACCAGACTCAAAGTTAAGTTTCCACGCATTCAGGCACATAGAGACACACGCGAATGGACGTGGCAGTACATGGTTGAGATGCACTGGGAAAGGGAGGGTTGTACAAGGGAAAAGTAATAAGCTTCATTCATCACGTTTTTCATGACTACGGTCACCTCAGCAGGTTGTGGCCAGAAAAAAACAAAAGCCCTTGCAGTTTGATAATTTAGTAGACTTCTTTATTTCCTCACAGCCCTCTATAGAAGTTTTTATAAATGTGGAAAATAGCTTTAAAATAACTAGTAAAATGAATTCAATACTCCTACAGTGCATGCCCCATAAGCCTACTTTTTCTTTTTTTAAAAGTTGTAAGGAGGGGGGAAATCTTCAGGGAATCACTGAGACTACATGAATTATGATGTTAGCTAAAGTCGTACATATCCAGGACGTTCCATGGGGGGCCCGCATTTCATTTACATTGGACAGAAGATCTGATCAGAAAATTGCTTTCCTTTTTTTTCAGGAGGGTGAGACCCTGTAGATCCTGGCCCCTGCGCTCATCTGATAGGAATGTATTCTTCTGAATGTTAGCTTCTGAAATCTGTTTTATCCCGCGTTTAAACCTAAACTTGGAGAAGATCGTGACCACTTTGTTTTTACTGAAGAGAATATTATTTCCTACCAATACAGTTTCAAATCTTTTTTCCTCTAAGAAAACATAATCTTATGTTTTAAAGTAGAACTCGATGGCTAAGAGCAAAAACATCAGCTTCTGACAAGCCTGCATTCAAGTCTCACTTATTCCTCTGTGTGACAATGGACAGGGCACTGCACCTCCCCTGAGCCTCAGCTTCCAGATCTGCAAAATGGGAACAATGAGAGCATAGGGTTGTTGCGAAGATTAAGAGAGATAATTTGGAAAACTTTCACATCCAGGAGACACACTGTGAGTGAGGGCTGATATAATAATAAGTAATAAACAATTATATTATTAATGAATAATTATTAGCAAAATTAAAATAATTATTATAACAATTAATAATAATCACCACCACCACCATCATTATAGACAGAGACACCCTTCACCCACCCCTACCCATCAAGCGAGCATCCATCTATCCCCACGTCAGGAGCCTGGAAGGACCCAAAGCCCTCACTAGGTCAGTCACAAGCTAAATATGCTAGAATCTAAGTTGCTTAATTTCAGGACAAATCCTCCTCTTAATAGATGACACAAATTCTTCTGTAAGTTCACCCACACTTTACTTTATGATCCAGTGTTTTGTTGCTTTATCAATGGTGGAGGAAAAATCTAGTCTGACACTGATTAAACACTCACATTCGCCAATCAGAATGTCGTGTGAGTGTGTACAGCTGACTGTTTAAAACTTCAAACAGTAAGTTACAAGGATGTAATTGTACTGCATGGGGAATATAGCCAACATTTTATAACTTTATACACAGTACAATCTATAAAAATATTGACTCACTATGTTGTACACCTGAGACTAATATAATATTGTAAATTGACTATACTTCAATTTAAAAAAAAGAGAAAAGAACAAAAAAAAAATCAAACAAACCCAACTAATACATAGATAGCTACACAGATATACTTGGATACATGCATTTACTTTGGGGTCTCTAGAATTTAGATAGACTTGGGTATATCTAGGGAACAGTATGTACTGTTTAAAGTCATAAATTCAAATATATATAAAAATATATGGAGTGAGAGGGGTGGGGGAGGAGGGAGGGAGAGGGAGAGACCACGAGCAAGCAAGCTAGCCAGCAAGGTAATATACGTAAGTTAAGCAGACCAGAGGTCAGAAATAATTGACTTCCTGTTTTGTTTTTCTTTTTTCCATTTTTATTGTAGGCATGAATGTCACAGAAATAGTTTTTTTCTATTCTACCATGAGAAGAGAAAGTCTGCAGTGGGTGTATGAGCATAAATAACTTGTGATTTGCCCCACTTAACTAGGGAACTTGGGGTGTAATGACTAACAGTGGAGCGAGAAGGCCAGGAAGGGCAGGGTAACCCACCTCCAGCCACTGTTGCCAGGTGTGACTGGCAGCTCTGCTGTTACAGCTTTC